AATTAATACAAAGCCTGGAGTGAAGTCCTAGAGAATGCAAGAGTGAAATTAAATGCAGGGACCAAAAACAAAGACACGTGGTGTGTGCATGCGGGCATGTAGCGTCTACACAAGAAAATAAGGGAACTTGGGGGAAAGTGTCAGAGAGGGGAAGGCGAGTAGACAGATGGCACCTGGAGGGCAGACACTGAGGTCACCTCAAGTCAGGATCTTTATGTATTTGCTTATTCAAAAGGCAGGCCGAGCACAGAGTGGAGAAAGGTCGAAACAGGACTACGGGGGCTGCACTCAATTCTTCAATACTGTTTAATTCAGGGGTCAGCAAACTGTGGCTCACAGGCCAAATAGCCAATTGTCTGAGCATTATCTAAGATTGATTTTGATTTTTTAAATAGTGAAAATAAAAAAGTCTTAGAAGATGAATGATACTTCTTGACACACAAAAATAATATGAAATTTAAATCTCATTGTCTATCAGCAAAGCTTTACTGGGACACAGCCAATGTCATTTTATTTATGGAATGACCTTGTTTTTGCTCTACAACAGCAGAGTTGAGTAGGTGCAACAAAGCTCATTTCACCCACAAAGCATAAAATATTTACTTCACAGAAGAAATTTCCTACCTCTGGTTTAAGTCGTGCAGCGATGGCTTCACACTTGCATGTCCTCCTCAGGAAGCAAAAATGCACTAAACACAACCCACTATGTTTCTCGGGCAGGTTAGTGATCATTTATCTTCCTTGAGTGTGTGCCTGGATGAGCCTCCCACCCCCTGCATCAAGTTGCTTATCAGAAACACCTATAGCACTCTCCCGGAGAGAAGATGGACAAATACTAAGTTCTGCATGTTTCCATCTCTTCTGACATTCTGACTCCAGTTTTAATACCTAGGCTCCACTTTGGGTACTGAGAAGTAGCCTTAGGTTTACCAATTCCAGTGACTTTTTTTTTCTTGGTAACCTGTTTGCTGCTCTATTTTTTAATGGATCTTGGGACCAGCAATAGACAAATGAGTTGCTTCCTAATCATTAGCCTAGTGGCTAAAATCTACTTTTTTTTTCCTTAGAATATTGTTACTTTTTTAAAATATATGGGATGGATATGCCTATTACACATGATGAAATGTAGCTCTAGGAGGTTAAAAACTTGAACCACAGTCACCCAAGCTTCCTTGATCTACAGAGATGCCTGTTTCTAAGACAGCCATTTGTAATGTCCTATAATCTGACATTTGACACTCCCTCTTAATCTCATCATTTTATGCCAAAGCACACTGCACTTCCTCTAGGCCAGACCTTGGTACCCATCCCCCAGACTCTCCCAACAACACAACTGGCTCCAAAGTATAACTAAATATCACAAGTGTCACTGGTGAGAGGGTTAGCTATATGTGGTTTGTAAATTATTTTACTAACTCCTAGGGTCCCACAGAGGGCCTTAGGAAGCACCTGGAATAATTAGGAGGAAGAATAGGAAGACCCTTGGGTGCTCTAAAGGGCTTACCACCATGGAGCCAGAGATGTTTCTCAGTTTACTTCCCAATTAATTTTATTTAATCAACGGGTTTGGTAAAACAAAAGTTGAAATATGATAAGATATCATTTAAGCTAGACATTACCAGGGTGATGGTAAAAATAATTAACAGCCACTATGGCACAGGAATGGACCAGTCAGAATGGAAACTGGTCCTGGTGTTTGTCAAATGTCACCTTTTAGTTACTGGATCAAGGAGAGTTCTGCAAAGTCCTGGGTGGGGGAATCAGATGACCAGGGCAGCAGATGGGTGGAAGGCACACACGCAGAATTCAAACCACTATTTACCAACCAGTACAAAAATATTTCAGTTCTCATAACCAGTATGCCTACAACTTGGAGATTACACAGTGAATCTGCAACTGATCTACAAGTCTAACTTCAAACTTAATTTCCTGGGGAGAAATATGTAAGTGTTAATATTTACTAGTACCTATGTTACTGTCTTAAATAATGATCTCAAGGTCCAAAAATAAATTATTTTACTTGAACATCTAACTTCATCAACACTTTTCATGCCAAAAGAAGAAATAAACATTCTGTAACTGAATATGAAACACAATGATGCACTTACTCTCACATTTATTTCTTTTCATGAATTCTGAAGCAAGAGGTGCTAAAGACATCTAGTCATTTGTACATATTCAAAAAATGTATTAATGGAAATAGAGTGTTCTCTAGTATTCTTTTAAAATCTGTTTTCACAAATTTTGGAATTATTGCAGATAGTTACTAAGATAATATTAGGCTGCAAGAAACCAATTCTCAGGGAATAGTTTTTGAGGAACACATGTATCTGTTTATCATTTTCTAGTTTGTCAATGAGTATTTGAAAAAAAAATTCTGACATGCATGATTAGTTACAGCAAATTAATTCTTTTACCCTCCCTCTGGAATGATAAGTCATGCGCTTATGTAACATGGTAACTCACTTGTAAATTTGTGAAAGAAGCTGCTCTTGTTGACTGTTCTGCCATCTGTTTGCATGGGATGAAGCCCTGGTGCTCCCTAATTGGCCATAAATTAGTACCAGCCCCAGGCTTTTGACAGGAGCCTTCAGTTACAGTTTGATGTTTTTGTTAAGCTGTGAATCCAATATTTGGTGGGAAGCCCACGCTCTCTCTTAAGAGTGTAGAGATGCACTTCATGAGTCCTAGACTCAAGCAGTCTTCTATTTATGTTTAAAGCTAGACCTCACTCAAGGTGTCCTCTCTGTATATATCCCTAAAGATAAATTTATGCTGATTGCAGAGAAAAACTGCTAAATCTAAGAAATGTCTATGCCTTTTGTAAAAGGGGGAAGCAGACATTTATTGAGTGCTTACTACACATCTTATACTGTCTATGGACCTTTACATATGTTAAACTGATCTTTGAAACAATTTTATAATTTAGGTAATATTATCTTTTTTTTTTTTTTCAGATTGGGAAACTGACGCTTAGAATTTAAGTAACTTGCCCATGCTATCATAAAATGGTGCAGTCAAGATTCAAGTACTGGGCTTTATTTGCCAAAGCCTGGGTACTCTCCACTGCGTACTATATATGACTAGGTTTGAGGAAAGAAAAATTTATGATGAGGCAAAAGTACGTGTGTGATGCTACCTGGTGCTCCTGCATCTCTCAGGACCTCAGTGAACGAAAATGAAGGAGCTGGACTAGGTGGCCCACAAAATCTCATCCAGTTTGATTCTTTGTGATTAGGTTAATCTGGACTTGACCATTTACCATGAAACCTATCAAGTTATTAAACCTCTATGGGCTTCACCTTCCTCTTCCGTAAAACACCTTATGATCACCACCCGGATGGACAGGCTTCTCACCAGGTATTCTGCCCTTAACCTCTCCCTCTAATTTACCTTAGGCAGCACTCTCAGGCTAACAAATACAGTGTTACAGGGACATTGTTTTGCTGCATAAAACTGTCAGAGTTACCCTTATCCCAATACTCAGTGTCCTTGGTGAACCAGCCCCAATATGTCTATGAACTTATTTGTCACAATACCTCCTCCAGCTACCTTTACAGAGCCTCACTCTTGCCAGTTGAAATGGCTTGCAGTTCCCTTGTGAGCATTGCATATGCCGTTCACTCTATTTATACGGCCTCTGCTGCACTTCCAGATCCACCTAATAATACCATTTCTTTCATGAAGACTTTCCTGATTCTCCTCAGAAGGAGTCACTCCCTTTTCCAGGCTCCCATAAACGTGTACTCTGACCCTTCTCATGTCCTGCCTTGCGTGCTGATTATTTGTGCATATGCCACAACTTCTGCATGAGAAGCTAACCCCCAAACCAGGATCTGTGCTGCTCCTTTAATCTTCTCAGGCCCCTGACAACGCTTTGTATATGGTAGATCCTCAGTAAAATGCGGGCTGAATGAAAGAATGAATGAGTGGGTAATGGTTGTTTCTGGGAACCAGACAAAGCTTCTCCATTTCAGAGATATTTCTGGATAGAACTATCACTCTGCAGCTGTGCCACTGCTCTGGTTCTAAAGATCCAACTCAGAGGGGCCCCAAACGAGAGATTTGTGAATCAAGTGGGATCCCTCGTTACCCAGGCCCCCGCGCTCAACATTCAATTCCAACATTCTGGCTGGTCACATCTGCCCCCTCAGTTTCATTTCACCCTGACACTCACAGCCTAACCCAGCTCCACGAAAATGGAGATTTTACGGTTCTTCTCCTTGGATAGTCAGTTGGCTTTTCCGATAAACTTATCAGAGGCACTGCAATGAGGAAGCATCTGGTAGGCTGCTTCCAGATAGTGCATTTTAATGTATTTTAATCATGCTCTTGGCAAGTCAACTATCTGATATTTGCAGTTTAACCTACAAAGCATTAAGGTAATAAGAATACCAAGCCATAATGGAGGCAAGGAACAGGGGTAGGCATCGTGAAACAAACCTCTAAGGGCCCTAAACGTATGCCTAGGGCTAGAATTGATACTTTCTCCAAAACTGTCTTCCTAAAATGCTTCTACTATAGGAGTCTGGGGAAGGAAGAAAAGACAAGATAACCAAAACATGTTCAAGCAATAGGCCATTTCCTAATAATAATATAACTTATTGTTAATATATTATTATTATTCTAAAAATTTACACAAATAGCTAGCATCGCCTGAGCGTCTCCTGACTGAAACACACTCGGACACATGGCTTTCCCTGCGTGTTCCCAATAATCCTGACAATATGGTTTATCACGTGCATTGTCCCCAGTTTACAAATGACCTAACTGAGATGAAGCTCACAGCGGTCAAGCACCATGGGGAAGATCACAAAGCTAGAAGGGCAGAGCCAGCTCCTTCTAAGAATAATAGGAAATGACAGTCCAATATAGAACTCATTTTAAAATGAAAAGGCATGAAGCAGATTTTAATGGCTCCACAAAATGATGCCTAATTCCAGGAACTAAGCAACCACCGCTAGGAGTGTGCAATATGCATAACAAAGCCGCGCACTTACTCTCTGTCGATCACCAGGCAGGTCACAGCTTCTGCGGCAATCACGTTGGCTGTTCTCACATCCTCCCTATAAAAAAAATAGAGAGACGCTGAAGTAAAATAGCCTTTAATGTCCAACAAAAGTGTTCATTGTGCTTCATCTGGGAAGCCTAGTAAGTTATGTATACTCTGTCCAGGTTTAAGCTTCGTTCGTCTTTCACATTTCTCTGTCCTGAGGAACCAGCTTATCCCTGTCGGCAAGCACAGATTTTACAGTTGTGACTCAGTAGTTACAATCTTCAAACTTAAAGTTTCACTTTTACAAGTGAAATAAAATTTTATGTCATCATTCCCTGTGCTCTCTGGGGAATTAATGAATTAATTGGATGTTGATAAAGACAGTGATGAACATGGGCAGATGAAATTTTTTAACCCACCTGAAGCTATATTTCTGGAGATTGAGAGTCTAAGTCATGTGAGCATGAAGTTATCATTATAACCTTGAGGACAACTGATCTGTTTCCATTATTTCCTTACTTTAGAGACCCCGCAACTTCTAGTGCAGTTATTCATCTATGCCGCAGCTTACGGTTCATCAGGAGCATCTGACAAAGCTAAATCACACTGAAATGTGTATTCACTGTCTCTTTAGAAGCTTCTAATTTGTCACTGTAGGGATATCTATCAACCTTTTAAACCTTTTAAAATCTGCCCTGAGATCTCTGTCTTACCCAGTGGTCAAAGGTAAATTTGGTAAATTAGATTTCACCTTTCATTTTGAGCTACTAAAAATTTAATGGTACCAATGTAATAAAAACGTAAGTTATACTTGAAAATGTACTCTCTTCCCTAGAAAGGTAAAATTTCTAAGTTCATATAATTATTGATGAATATAAGTTTGAAATACATTACAGAGATATGCACATAGGAAATAATATAGTGTTACATTCTAAAAGGCATAATTAAAACATATGTATCTAATAACAGAATATAAAAATTAGTCTTAAAAATAAAGATATTTCTAGTGGATTTTTTCAAAATACACTAAGTTCTCATATAATTCTGATTTTGTATTTCGGCCACTCTTTCATTGTCAATACATACATCATGCTGTTAACATCACTGTTGCTTTATAGTAACTATTTTGTATTTAGTATCTGGTAAGGCAAGTTTCTCCTTAACTAAAATTATTTTTCAGAAATATCTTGATGATATTCTTAAACATTCATATTTCATATAGACTTTAAAATAATGTTTTCTCTTCTAAAAAAAAAAAATCTGCATTGGGACTATGCTAGAGTTGTATTACTTTTATACCTTGATTTCAGACATAGGATTCTGATATTAAGTTCCATACAAGAACACGGCATGACTCTCCACTTGTTCAGATCTAGTTTTTTTGTCTTTAAATATTTCTTAGTCTTTTTCACTCAGATCCTAACATTTTAAAAACAGTATTCTTAGGTGTTTTATATCATTAGTTTCTCTTCTGAGTGGCATTCCTTTTCCATTTCTGTTCCTCACTGGTCATTACTTATGAAAAATAAAAGTATTGATTATTGTATATTTTTAACCCACCGACCATACTAAGTTCTCTTCTGATTCTAAAATTTTCATTATCGCCTCCACAGCTCCCAGTATCATCCTCCCAGGGCCTCCCTCATTCCCCACCTTCCAGCCAGACTGGCCTCCTTCCCATTCCTGAGCACCTCGTGTCCTTAACGTGCCTTCCCCGGGCCTAGGCACTTCGTCTCCAGCTCCCTGCCTGGCTCACCCGCTTATTTAACTTCTAGGCCTCAGCCTACGCGCCCCTTCCTCAGGGATGCCTCTGAGTTCACTGGAACAGGTTCCCTGCTTATTTATTCTCATGGCCTTACGTACCTCTTCGTCCAACCACTTATCACTGTTTATAATTTGTACATTTATTTGTTGAATGACCTGTGTCCCTCCAACTAAACCTCACGAGGGCAGGTTCCATGGCTGGGTCTGCTCCCCACTTACCCTAAACCCTGGCACACAGGAGGCGGCACAGGCACCGTAGTCCTGGGCCCTGGGCAGGACGGATTTCAGGCTCTGCAGTCCCACTGCCTAGGTTCCTTAAGACAATATACAAGCTGTGGGAAAGGCTCAGCTTTCTCCTCTGTAAAAACGGGGATGGTGAGAATGCCCACCCACTGTGCTGGTGTTAAATGAGATAATCAGGGCTTGTTTATCATAATGCCTGGCACATGGAGAGCAATGTGTCCTGTTGTTTATTACTCCTAATTCTTCTTGTCACCAGTACTGTCATCTTTGTCCTCATGAGCACGGTCTTTTATGAAACATTCCTACCCAAGAACAAAGTGTGGAATTTCTTCTTGCTCCATATAATAGACAATATATTTTCAACTCCATTTTCACTTTCTGAGTGGGAATTTTCGGTGAAGTGGACACAAGTAGAAAATATCAGTAATGCCCATCAGGTCTTCCATAAATTGTGTGAATGGCTTGTTTCTGAGGAGGTTGCTCGTGGCGGCATAAATTACTACGAATTGCTGCCAGTGTAAAGAAAAAAGAAACCTATCACAGCTTTATAAAGTAGATTATATTAAATCTCACTTTCCCTAAAACATATTTCTATCTTGGCAATTTAGATACTGCTCACAGGCTTTCAAAGTATAATATACACAAAATAATGCTTCTTTTTAATAATATTTTCTGTGCATATATATTTTTGAAACATGATTTCATTACAAATTTTTAATATTTTAAAATTCCATCATATTGTCTGGCCTAAATTGAGTATGTATTTTTTTAAATGAATGCAATTTTCTTGCAACAAAAATATACATAGATATTTTTTAATTTAGATGGGGGGAAAAAAATCACAGATCAGAAGAGTGACATAGTAAACAGAAATTGAAAATATTTTAAAAAGGAAAATTTGTAAGTTATAGCCTATGATCAGGTTTAGTACCTAGTAAAGTGACATATCAAAACAAAAGAGGTGCATAATATTGGGGAAAACAACATATTAAACAAGAGATGATCATATTTGCCAATTAATGAGCATCTGGTATATAACAGGAACGATATTAAGTAATTCACACAAATCTCATTAGATGCATCTAACAGAAGGTGCGTATTTCATCCCAGGTTTACACAGGAGATAAACGTTAAGTAACACATCCAAAGTCAGACATAGCAAATGAGTTGCAGCCCTGGAATCTGAAAAGAGATCTGTCTGGCTCCAAAGTCCATGTTCTTTCCACAACAGTCCACTGTTGATACACTAAGCTACCCAATTTATTTACACAACAGTTAATTTTAATTCAAAATAACTTCTGAGTAGTAAGTAGTCATAATGTCTCTCTATCCATCATTATAAAAATATATTTGTTAATAAAAACAGCATTAATATGTTAATGAGTGCCCAATTGCAAAGCTAATTCAATGAAGCATTTTGATTCCCAAACTATTAGAACTTCTACCTATGGCTATTTCCTAGCCCTGTTATGTTGCTTTATAATAATGCTACATAAAAATCGCAAATTATTCCATGTCAAGATCATTCAATGCCTAACTCATGTGGCTATTACACTGTCATTGTACCTCTATTAAGGTGCTTAATGCCATGATGCCAGTCTTTGCAGGTGTCTATAATGCCATCCCTGTGTACTCTGAGAGCTGCTCCTGTAAAAGACCATATAGTATTTTACCTAGTATTGACATATATAAATCCCTTCCTTTATGACAGCAGAAATTTGCGATGAGAAAATATTACTCATATAAGCTGACAATACCGTGATTTACCATATATGCTTATTTCCTTTGTAGGTCAAAGGACCATGTCAAGAGCAAATATCATTTGGATTTAGATATAAAATGTTGCATACTCATACACTACAGAGGTCCTAATAGCTCCATGCTGTTATTAAACTTATCTCTATTTTATGGTACTAGTTTCCCACAGAACTTCTACTAAATCAGCAGGGTTTCATGTAATAAGAGATTAGACAAAGGGAAAGAGAAGAAAAAGGGAGATAGTGTTATTTTTAAAAACTGAACTATCTTTCCATTTAAGCTTTTGGCAGATTAAGGTATTTGATAATTTCTAACAGATGAATATATGAGATTTTGAAAAAAGCACTGGCCATGAGAGAATTTTATAACTAGAGTTATAATGTATGTACAACATACTCAATTAAAAACTTTCACCAAACACATATGGCCTTTGAACACTCAGCACACTTCTTTATAGGAAATAAATATACATGTATCTATAAAACAGTCCAGGCCTAACATGCATATTGTCTTTAAAAATAAAGCTTCATATTCATGCATTTCTATTCCAGTATTAGTTGATTTTAGCATGACAGTTAATAAACATGTACTATTGCAGAAGTAGCTACTGTTTGGCAGAGTAACAGATATTTTACCAAGTTGCTATTGATTAATGAATAATTAACTGTCAAGGCTATGCAGTTTAGTATAATTCTCTTTTTAAGCATTTTGGGAGGAGTTAGAAATTCCCTTCAATGAAATCATAGAGCATGAAAGATATTCCAAAATATTTGCAAACAACAGTTTTCTGTGCACTGACTCTGATATTCTTTGAACTTCATCACTGGAATCTTCATCATCGCTGTACCCCAAAGTTGAATCACTGTCAGTATCTGAATAATCCATGGCAAGGGTTTAACATGGACTCTCCTTGTTCTGAAGGAATTCTCTTGTGTGCGATGGCTGGTAGAGAGCTCGGCAGTTGATTGATATCTCAGGGGAACACCGAGTGCACGGGCCAGAGCAGAATGTAGTTCATGCAGTGTCTGAGTCAAGGCTCTCCCTTCTCAGCTCCACAGCACCGTGACTGCCATCCACAGAGTCCTAGCATTCCCTCGGTGCCGGCCTTCTTGGAAACTGACACTACTCCAACTGCCTACGAACTTACAGCAATCCATGGGTCAGAGCCCTTCATTCGCCGCCAAATGCAACAGTTTAATGTCCACAGTGAAGTTTGGACCACATAGGACACAATAAAGCCTTTTCATCCTAAAATCAAGGGCAATCTTACTACAACAAGTAGCACTATTAAAAATTAATAGGGTA